GTTGGTGCAGGCATTGGGCTTGTGGGTGGAAGATCCCTGTCTCTCCTTCTCTGCCTGTCATTTTTGCCTTTCAAATAAACATAAAAAAATACTGTACCTTATTATTATGTGTCAAGATAAAAAATGGAAACATAGGAAGCTTCTAAATACTAGGGTGAAAAACTGAATCATTTCCACTCCTCCAGCTGCTTTGAAGGTAAACCTTTGTGGGTTTTTGTGTCTGCTATGATTTTAGGTATTTCATGTCTGTGAGATGGCAGGGCAACCTGGTGTGGGTTGTACTTATTGTGTGTGTTGGGAAGGAAATGGATGGGCTGTGAGCAGATTACCTGCTGACAATTTCTAAGATACAGGGAAGACTGGGAATGTATTAGGCTCTTGTTTGCGAATTGCTAAAAGCAACAGCAAACCGTAGGTTTCTGGATCAATTTGAGGGCCAAAATATGCATGTGGTCAATCTTTTACTATTGGAACATTTTAGCCACTGGTGAAGGAAGACTGAGGAAATAAGAATTTATCCACAGAGCAAACATTTATGGAACACATTCTGAGACTCTGTGCTATGCCCTGAGAGAAAAAAAGATGAATAGAAGGCCTCAAAACTCATAGCCTAATAGGGACAGATGAAAAAGAAAATTCTAAAATGGGCACAAGTAATAACCTTGAGAGAGGAAAGTCAAAATTTAGGAGAGAGAGGGGATTTGAATAAATACAGTACACCTCAATCTGTACCCCATCTCCCCACACAGCTAGAGGCCAGAGGTCAAACCCATGCTAGAGTCACCCCCAAAAGTGGCTGCAGGGGAATTTCCACAACGGAGTACCCCGAACTGTGGTCAGATGGGACCAGTTGAGATTCCCAAGAAAGAAGTACCAAATCCCAAAACAACCAAGCTGAAGCATTTACTGGGGAAACTTAGAGAGGCTTGCAGTTTATCCATGCCACTAACAGTAAGACAAAAGGGATGCTCTCTGCTTAGCTGTCCACAGCAAGCGGAGGTCAAGGTATGCAGTTTATATGAGGCTTTAAGAAATTTTGGTTCAGGCTTGGGCCGCTTTCTGTCTCTTGGGCGACAACCTAACACCTTTGTCAGTATGCGGGGATGTTCAAGGCCAAAGCAACCTGAGCTCAAGCTTGCAAGAAAATCTTGCAGCCGGTTGGGACATCTAGTGGTCAAGGCACGCTATGACTTTCGGTTAGGACACAAAGTGGAGGGAACTAGATAGCACAAGAGGGACATGGGGTGGGTGAAAGGCACTCAACGCATTGCAGGGATGCTGAGCTCAGAGTGTGCTCACCAAGAGCCTAGCATGGCCAGAATCTAGGTGGGAGAAGAGAGGAGGGACTGGAGCTGGACAGGGCTAGGCCTCTACCCAGGAGGCGCTTTTTGTTAAGGACTCAACTTTTTCTGGTAAGTGATGGAGAGGAGAGAGCCTTTGAAAACAGGTTAGTAGCTTTGCCAGTTTTCAGGATCATTCCGGTAGGTGTGTTGAAGACAGAAGAGTGGGGGGGAAGCTGTCAGGCTTTGATGAGGACCTAAATTGGTTCAGAGGGAATGGAAACGGGGACACGGGTTGGGGAGCAAAGGGACTCAGAGGAGGTAGGGGTGTGTATCTGTGTATGTACTGTGCTTATAGATAACAATAACAGCATTAAGTATGTATTACTCTGCTCCAAATTCCTTAACAAAACACCATAGCCTGGGTGGTTTAAACAATAGAAATTTATTTTCCCCAGTTTTAGAGGCTATAAGTTCAGAATCAAAGTCTTGCTGATCATTTTTATAAAAAAAGAAATTTTACGGCCGGCGCCGCGGCTCACTAGGCTAATCCTCCGCCTTGTGGCGCCGGCACACCGGGTTCTAGTCCCGGTCGAGCGCCGGATTCTGTCCCGGTTGCCCCTCTTCCAGGCCAGCTCTCTGCTGTGGCCAGGGAGTGCAGTGGAGGATGGCCCAAGTACTTCGGCCCTGCACCCCATGGGAGACCAGGATAAGTACCTGGCTCCTGCCATTGGATCAGCGCGGTGCGCCAGTCGCAGTGCGCTGGCCGCGGTGGCCATTGGAGGGTGAACCAACGGCAAAGGAAGACCTTTCTCTCTGTCTCTCTCTCTCACTGTCCACTCTGCCTGTCAAAAAAAAATTTTTTTTTTTATTTACTTATTTGAAAGGCAGACTGGCAGGGAGATCTTCCATCACTCCTCAAATGGCCACAAAACTAGGGCTGGTCTGGGCCCAAACTAGGAGCCCAGAATTCCATCCCAGTTTCCCATGTGGGTGGGCAGGGACCTAAGCACTTGCCCCATCTTCTGGTGGTTTCCCATGCCCTTTAGCAGGGAGATGGATCCAAAGTGGACCATCTGAGACATGAACCGGTGCCCGTATGGGAGGCCAGCATTGCAGGCAGTGGCTTAACTTGCTATGTCACAATGCCAGTTCCAAGAAACTTTCAGATTGTACTACAAATACATAATTTACCAAGTTTAGCAGAGTCTTGATGTTGCACAAGTGACTCTCAACAAGAAACTTTAAGTTTCTGCAAGAAACTACAGGGCACTGCAGACTAGTGGACCCTTGGTCAACCTGGTTGATCATTTCATATAATAATTCTTAAGGCCTTCACCCTTGGTGTGGAGGGACTGGAACTTTTTCCAGGTAAGGGAAAATCATTTCTTTATAACATTTCTTCTTCTTCTTTTAAGATTTATTTATTTGGGGAGGAGAGGGAGAGAGAGAGAGAGAGAGAGAGAGAGAGAGAGAGAGAGAAATGAATCTCTTGCATCTGCTGGTTTACTCCCCAAATGGCTACAACAACCTGGTCTGGGTCAGGCTGAAACTAGGATCCCAGAACTCCACTCAGGTCTCGTACACGGGTGGCAGGTCCCCAAGTACTTTGGTCATCTTTCACTGCTCTCCCAGGTGCATTAGTAGGGAGCTGGGACAGAAGTGAAGAAGCCAGGACTTGAACCAGTGCTCATGTAGGATGCCAGGGTCCTAGGTGGTGGTTTAACCCGCTGCACCATAACACCAGGCCCCCTCAATTCAATTTTAATTTATATTTCTGAGGGAAGTTGTTATTCTTGCTAAATGGGGACAGTGACAGATTTCTGGAGAACATTCACTTCTTGCGGAGCTGTAAGAGGCACATTGTGTACGGGTCTTCACACAACTCCATTCCTAGGAACGTATAAAGAGGGAGTCAAGCAGTTTGCTGTCATACAGAAATTTGTAAGCCCCTCAAAGGCGGCCTGGAAGCAATTTTAAATGAAGTTATTTACATTTTTATTATTATTTTATTTATTTGAAAGGCAGAGAGAGAGAGAGAGAATCTCTTCCATTTGCTGGTTCACTCCTCAAATGGCTGCACAGCCAGGTCTGGCCTAGGCTGAAGCTAGGATCCAGGAACTCCTTCTGGGTCTCCCATGTAAGTGGCAGTGACAGGAGCCCAGGCACTGGAGCCATCTTCAGCTGCTTCCACGGGCACATTAGCAGGGAGCTGGATCTTAGAGCAGCTGGGACTCCAATCAGCGCTCAGATATGGAACGCCAGTGTCCCAAACAGCGGCTTAACCTGCAGTGCCACAACACTGATCCCAAGATTGTGATTTTTTTAAATAAAAGATTTACTTATTTATTTGAAAGGCAGAGTTATAGAGATTCGGGGCAAGGGGGAGGCGGGGGGACTTCCATCCACTGGTTCATTCCCCAAGTGGCCGCAACAGCCAGAGCTGAGCTGATCTGAAGCCAGGAGCCAGGAGCTTCTTCCAGGTCTCACACACGGATGCAGGGACCCAAGGACTTGGGTCACATTTCACTGCTTTCCCAGGCCATTAGCAGGGAGCTGGATTGGAAGTGGAGCAGCCGGGAGACGAACCAGCGCCCATATGGGATGCCGGCACCACAGGTGGCAGCTTTTACCTGGTATGCCACAGCACCGGCTCCCAGGTTTGTGATTTTAATAAAGTGTTTGATACGTTTAAATTGGACACCAGTGTTTTTAAAAGAGTAAATAAATATAATTAAATACTTGATCTTATAAATTGTTTTTGTAAGTCACAGATCTGTGAATAAAGGAATTCCTAATGTTGGTTGGTTTTGTAAATTAAGAAATTGAACACTGATCATAAATGTTATGCATATTTTTCATATTTTTCTCCATGTCCACATGCTTTTGAACATAAAAGAATCTATCAGGGCGGCGCCGCAGCTCAACAGGCTAATCCTCCGCCTAGCGGTGCCGGCACACCGGGTTCTAGTCCCAGCCGGGGCACCGGATTCTTTCCAGGTTGCCCCTCTTCCAGGCCAGCTCTCTGCTGTGGCCTGGGAGTGGAGTGGAGAATGGCCCAGGTGCTTGGGCCCTGCACCCTATGGGAGACCAGGAAAAGCACCTGGCTCCTGCCTTCAGATCAGCGTGGTGCGCTGGCCGCAGCGCGCTGGCCGCAGCAGCCATTGGAGGGTGAACCAATGGCAAAGGAAGACCCTTCTCTCTGTCTCTCTCTCTCACTGTCCATTCTGCCTGTCAAAAAAAAAAAAAAAAAAAAAAAAAAAGAATCTATCAGTATGATGTCCTCTAATGCTCTTTGAGGTTTTGAGAAATACTCACACAGATCTTCCTGTTCTGCAGCAATGTTTCACCTTATTAATGTTCATGTATTTACCAAATGTCTTCAGAATGCTATAAAGAACTGTTCCAGGCATATTTGCATCCACTGGATTAGAAATAAATTGACCTATGTTATAATGCAATTTCAGTCTGAAAAACCCTAGTAGTCATTTGTTATTACATCTAGCATCAATATGTCTCCTAAAAGGACAGTAAGACCTGGTTGGATGTGAAAAAGTAATGTTTTGCCTTCTGAGATAGAACTACCATAACAAACTGGAGTTTGAGTGACTGCTACTTCTGTGGCTTCCCTACTCTAAGCACCATATTTTGATATAATTAATATATTTAGGGTTTACACTTTGGAACATTTGAAAGAACAAAGGATAACATGCAAATGAATCCATACCAAAATGATGGTGAGTTTACTCTACAATTAACATAAATATAACAACTTATGATCCCAAGGAACATATGATAGGACTCTAATGTACTATTCCTATGTGTGAGGAATTGATGAAGCTTCTTGGGCAGCTCTGGTGTGGTTCATCAGACATTTCTTGTCTTGGGTTGTACAAATTCTACTGATTCTCTTCCGAAAATTCCACATTGTTTTTGTCTTTAACCTGCATGGAGATACATTGTCTTATATTGGAGCCCTTGGTACCGTTTATGAAACATTTTTTCTTTTTTGTTTTGTTTTTAACTGAACAATTAAACTTTGATGAAAACCACTACCAATTATAATTAATCATTGCCCTTTTTTAATATGCATGCCTGCTGGCTAAGCCAGCCCCCAAAAGGTTAACTTCTGTGATGAAACAAACCTGCTACATTATTTTCTTGGTGTTTAGTGTTTTAGTTTTAAGAGTCTTTAAATCACTTCAGCTTTTTACTCAAGACCTACAAAATCTTTTGCAGGGGAGAAAAATCAGGAAGTCTCAAGCTAAGAGATAGGTTAGAAGAAAGATGAGGGGCTGGCGCTGTGGTGTAGCGGGTAAAGCTGCCGCCTGCAGTGCTGGCATCCCATATGGATGCCAGTTCGAGTCCGGGCTGCTCCACTTCGGATCCAGCTCTCTGCTCTGGCCTGGGAAAGCAGTGGAAGATGGCCCAAGTCCTTGGACCCCTGCATTCGCCTGAGAGACCTGGAAGAAGCTCTTGGCTCCTGCCTTCGGATTGTTGCAGCTCCAGCAGTTGCGGCCAATTGGGAAGTGAACCAGAGGATGGAAGACCTCTCTCTCTCTGCCTCTCCTTCTCTCTTTCTGTGTTACTCTGACTTTTAAATAAATAAATAAATCTTTTAAAAAATAGAAAAAGATGAGAAAACAAGGGAACTGTGTCCTACCTTAACTTCCAAGAAAAAACTGGAAGCCAAGATATAAAAGCATCTCCATACTTGCAGCTGCATATAGCTTATGGCAGTTTCTGTTCATAATGCTTCCTAACGGGAAAATAAGACTTCTGTCAAAGCAGTAATCATCAAAATCAAACTGAACCACATTAAATTGGAAAAAAGTGTTACATAAATGTTATAATAAATAACATTATTAAGCCAATTAAACTACTTCCTTAGTTGTTTCTATGAGGCAGTAATGCTTTGCCTTGATTCTTAGCCTCAATATGGCTCCAAAGCTCCCCATCTGGTACAGTTCCCTATCTCAAATCTTCCACAGTGGTCCAAGTCGGTATGCGGATTATTAGCCACTGGTCATTATAAAAAACAAAACAAAAGAAAAAAATCCAACTCTATTCAAAACCTGTAAATACAGCAGTTTGCCACAGGGAAATTTAAGGCTAAAATAACAGAATGGTATAGCAGACTTTTCCGAACTTTTTTTTTTTTTTTTTGCTTTTGACAGGCAGGGTGAACAGTGAGAGAGAGAGAGAGAGAGAGACAGAGAGAAAGGTCTTCCTTTTGCCGTTGGTTCACCCTCCAATGGCCGCCGCGGCCAGTGCGCTGTAGCCGGTGCACCGCGCTGATCCGATGGCAGGAGCCAGATGCTTATCCTGGTCTTCCATGGGGTGCAGGGCCCAAGCACTTGGGCCATCCTCCACTGCACTCCTGGGCCACAGCAGAGAACTGGCCTGGAAGAAGGGCAACCGGGACAGAATCCGGTGCCCCGACCGGGACTAGAACCCGGTGTGCCGGCAGCGCAAGGCAGAGGATTAGCCTAGTGAGCCGCGGCGCTGGACGTCTGTTTATTTCTTTAAAAGGTTTTATATATCTATCTGGAAATGACTTCTAATATAATCTGGTTTATAAAATAAATTATTTTAGCTATTTATAGCCCCTCCTGGGAATGTAATATCTTGCTAGTTTGAGATCTGTATTTATTTGGTATATATGTATTAAAATTTTATTTTTAAATTTTCTTGACATGAATAATTTGATACTAAATGGGATAAAGAGGTCTGATAAAAAAAAGTCCTACATTACATATTTGTGTGATTTCTCCACCATGTGTTATGTGCTAAGTGAAGGACTGTTTAATGTTTTCTCACATTTATGTTCCCATTTTTCCCGAGTATGGATTTTCCTGTGTTGATTAAGGTGTGCGCTCTGGCTAAAGGCTTTCCCACAGTCATTACATTTATAGGGTTTCTCTCCTGTGTGGGTTCTCTCATGCTGATTCAGATGTGTCCTCTGGCTGAAGGCTTTCCTACAAAAAGCACATTCATAGGGCTTCTCTCCAGTATGGAGTCTGTGATGTTCGGTGAGAGATGTGATCCGGCTAAAGGCTTTGCCACACTGGTCACATTTGTAGGGCTTCTCTCCAGTGTGAATTCTCAAGTGTTGAGTAAAGGATGAATGCTGGCGGAAGGCTTTCCCACATTCACTGCACGTGAAAGGCTTTTCTCCGGTGTGAATTCTCTGATGTTGAGTAAGATGTATTCTCTGGCTGAATCTTTTCCCACATTCATCACACTTGTAGGGTTTCTCTCCTGTGAGGAATACCTGAGGTTGGGTAAGAGATGAACTGTGGCTGAGGGCCTTTCCACAATCTCTGGGCTTCTCTCCTGTATGAGGACGATTAGTAAGAAGAATGTGCTGATTGAAGATTTTTCCACACTCATTATATTCATAAGGGTTCTCTCTTATGTAGTTTCCCTGGTAGTAAATCAAGTCTGTGTTATGTCTGATGCCATTTCCTTGTGTGTCAGAATTGGTGGGTATTTTAATTGAAGGAATTCTTTGAAGCATAATAAGATCTGAGTTCAGACGACAGCTTTCTGAAAGTTTATTATATTCAAGGCTTCTCTCCTGAGGGATATTTTTGTAGGTGAAAGATACTTGCCCCAAATGTCTCTGCTGGTTTTGTTGATTAAACTCCAACTGGTAATCAAAATCCCAGAATCCTCCTAAGATGGAAAACCAGAAACTGCCTCCTGTTAGTCTCTTCATTATCATGTCATTGGTTTGATTTTCATCAGAAATATTCTGGTTTAGAGTGGGCTTTTGGATTTCAGGTCTGTTCTTCTCATCTAAAAGACATTCAGAACACAGAAAGACTTTCCTGTATTTTCTTTGCTTTAAAGAACAAACTGTCAGACAATGAATTACCAAATGAAACTGATAATGTTGTGTACAAGGTACACGTAGCACTGAAAGTTTTCAAATACAGCCACATAACCTGGACAAAGACTATAAAAGGATGAGAAGCATGGACAAGGGGGCACATTTTAAAATATGTCCAGTGATCATGAAAAGAGGAGATCATGCAAGAGTACTCAGGGTTGAATGGAGATGGACAGGAGAGGCATCAGAGACAGACCTGCATTTTGAGGTGGGAGATATTAGGGGAATATCGGCTCAGAAAAGGCAGGTCCAAATTCAAGCCTTTAGAAACTTCATTTGAGGGTATTCTATTATTAAGGCTAGCTACTTTTATCATTTTTAAAGATTTATTTATTTATTGAAAAGGAAGTATGTGTGTGTGTTAGAGAGACAGGGAGAAAGAGAGACAGAGAGAGAGAGCGAGCGAGTGAGCATGATAATGATTACTTCTCAAATGGCAACAACAGCTGGGGCTAGGCCGCGCCACAGCCAGGAGCCTGGAATTCCACCCAGGTCTCCCATGTGGGTGGCAAGGGCCCAGGTACTTGGGACCATCATCTGCTGCTTTCCCAGGTGCATTAGCAAGGGAGCTGGATCTGACACAGAGCAGCTTGGACTTGAACTGCTGCTCCAATATGGGATGCTGGCATCACAGGAGGCAGCCTAGCTCCTGCTCCATGTCACCGGGCCCCACCTTGTTTATTAAAAAGTATTTCTTCTGGTTTTTAATCTTTTGTTTAAAATGATAAAGCTGACACTTGCTTATAACATATTAAAATAACATGGAAATGCATAAAGAAAGAATCCCCCCCTCCCCCTACAAATAATCATTGCTAATAGCTGGGAGCCCATTTTGTCTGGTTGCCCCTATTTTCACTCAAACATACATTGTATTTTGAACAAGCATGACTTATAGACTCTGATGAAAATAAAATTTCATTTTGGTCTCCCACCTCTTCTTTAAATTTTCTTCCCCAGCTTCTAGAAGATTTCAGCAGGTCCCAAGGTTTTCCCTTACTTCTTAGTAACATGTACTCTTACTGCTACATTAAGTCGATTTGGTAATTAAAATGTTCAGTCAAGTAGCAGTCAAAACTACAAAACGAACTCCTTCCTCTCCCTGGACTTGTTACAGAAGGGTCAGTTCCTTCCTTCTCCCTGCCCACATATGGCCTCCCCCTCTACTTGCTTCCTGTTAACCCCTTCCTTCACTCCACTCTCTCCCTGTTAGTTTCTTTCTTGCCTCTGCTCTTTTATTGTTGTTGTTTTTCCCTATTGAACTATCTAGCCCGTTTCTTCCCCACTCATCAAATGCGTTTTAGTTCTTATCTAACAAGAGTTGGGGGCTGTGGGTTGTGTGAGGCTCCGGGGGAGAGGTTAAGAGAAAAGCCAGCTTTTATATGGCTGGGTGGTTCCAAAGTCGAAGCTTGGCATGTGGTTAAAATGGACTGTTGGGAACTTTCTTGGGAGGTTCTCGCTGGACTCCCTTCTCTCTTGTCATTTTCATGATCAACATAGATACATTTCTATCATGGGCATGAACTCTACTGGACAAGATATGGGATCATGCTGGGTGATCCATGGGAAACATCCATGAAACCTTGTTCCCACGGATCTGGGTACTGCAGACTAAGCCCAACTCAGCAGCCTCTTCTGGCTTATTCCCAGAGCCCTGTATTTACTAGTCAGCTGTCCTTGGACCCCTGAACTTTCTGAGTGAGAGTCTGTTTAGCTTTCTCAGATGTGAGGCTGGTTGTCACCTGGTCTTTCAACTACAGGAAACATAAGGGTACTTCAACAAATCTGTGGAAAATGGGACTAAAAGGTAAGTTTATTTGGTGCAAAAAATGCCAAAAATCCATATGAGGGGTCTTCAAAATGTACACAGAAAATGCATACTATGAAGAAACCATGCATGGGTTTTAAAATCAAAGCTATCAGAATGGAACCCTTGATGCTGGATAGTCATACTTGTATAATTATGTCTAAGTTAGGGCATGCTAGTAAACATAGGGCTACTTTTAAGAATTATGCTAGGAACTGTCATGGGAAAACTGGTTGGTGGTAGCAGGGGTTGGGGTAGGGGTGGTGGTGATCTGATCACTCTAAGTTGACTCAACTCTTACATTTCCTTCTATCTCTTTCTTTACAAGAGATTTAAGGACTCACAACATAGTTCTCCCCTGTGAGACTTCTTTCCAATTTCCTTGCAAAAGTCTCCCTTAGAAGTGTTTTTAAATCCCTGATCTGGCTGGCTGAGGGGAATCAATTCATGAGGCCACTGCCTATGCTCATGGAGATATGGGTGAGGGGTCCCCACATCTCCTTTAGTCCACAGATGTCTTCTGTCAACTTGGAAAGAGGAAGCGTTCCTTATGACACAAAAATATATACATGAAAGTACCTTATTTACTTTTTTTTTTTGACAGGCAGAGTGGACAGTGAGAGAGAGAGAGAGACAGAGAGAAAGGTCTTCCTCTGCCATTGGTTCACCCTCCAATGGCCACCATGGTCGGCGCTCTGCGGCCGGCGCACCGCGCTGATCCGATGGCAGGAGCCAGGTACTTCTCCTGGTCTCCCATGGGGTGCAGGGCCCAAGCATTTGGGCCATCCTCCACTGCACTCCCAGGCCGCAGCAGAGAGCTGGCCTGGAAGAGGGGCAACCGGGACAGAATCCGGTGCCCCTACCGGGACTAGAACCCGGTGTGCTAGCGCCGCAAGGCGGAGGATTAGCCTAGTGAGCCGCGGCGCCGGCCTTTATTTACTTTTAAAGCAAAACAGGGATGATAGTATATACAGAGCCTGTGTAACTTTGTGTCCCACTTAATATTCTTTCTAAATGAGAACACATAGATATATCTCATTCTTTTAAAAATATTTCGTTTTCATTCATTTGAACAGCAAAGACACACACAGGTCTTCCATCCATTGGTTCACTCCACAAACCCACAAAAGTCAAGGCTGGGCCACTTGAGCCATCATTTGCTCTTTCCAGGGTGCATATTAGCAGGAAGGCAGAATTACTTGTGGAGCTAGGACTTGGGCCCAGGCACTTCAAGATGGGATGTGGGCATTCCCAGCAATGTTTTAACTTCTGCACTAAATACTCACTTTTAGTTCATCCTTTTAAAAGGACATCATTACTGTAAAAAGAAAAAATGGCAAAGGAAGTATAATTTTCTACTTAAAATATTTAAATTTTCAGCACTTTTTAAAAGGGCATATCTTATTTGAAAAAAAATTGATTTTCCTACTGTTGAAAGGGTGTGGTTTTTTATTGTGGTATTTTACACAATACAATGAACATCCTTATCTAAACATCTTATGAACCCAAGCTAATATTTCATTAAGACAGAAAGTCACAGGGTTTGAATACTAAACATTTTGAGAGGCTCTGTCAAATAGTTCTCTCTCTTTTTTATTTAAGATTTTATTTAATGAATGCATTTTTCATACGTACAACTTTAGGAATATAGTGGCTCTTTCCCCCATACCCATGCTCCCACCCCCACTCCCATCCCACCTCCCTCTCCCTCTCCCATCTCCTTCTTCATTATGGTTCATCTTTAGTTTGATTTCCAAATAGTTCTCTTAAAAGGCTCTGCAAATTTACATTCACATAACGTGATATGGCAATATCTGGTTTTAACAATCTGGATGGTGAAAAGTGGTGCCTCATCAATGTTTCAATGTTTAATCAATTTTGAATTTGCATGTGCATCTTTCCATACATTTATGGGCTGTAAATATTTTGGGATTCTGAGGACCTGTTCATCTGCCGAAACTAAACAAGTACATGTATTTTTATTCAGAGAGAACCATATCTTTCATGAGACTGTCAAAGGAATCCGAGATTCAAAAAAGGTTTAGGACCTCCTTTTAAGGATATCTTAACCACTCAACATTCTTCTTTCATTTTTACTATTCAGCATAATAAAACCAAATTATTCTTCCTAAGTCACTACACACACACACATGCACATGCATGGCACACATACACACAAATCCTGTAGTCCTATCTCTTTTAAAGTATGCTCAATAAAATCAGGCTATGTAATCAACAAGGTGTTCCTTTTCTTTGACTACACCAAATTCATACATAAAATTGTGGGTGGAAAAGTAGACCCTAAGGCTTTCCGTATAGAATAATCTCATTTGTGTTAAGTATGTGTTAAGTATATCCACATGTACTGAAGAGGACTGAATTGTGTCTGGGAGGGATGTATTATGGATGGTATAGTATTTACTTTTCCATGATATGCACACATCATTATTGTAAAAAGAAAAACAGCAAAGGAAGTATACTTATATTTTTCTACTTAAAAATATTTAAATCTTCAGCACATTTTCATAATGTAAAAAAATTTAACACATTAGAAGGTGTGCTTCCAATTATGTCATATATTTAAGATTTTTGTGTCCAGCCTTGAGACAGTGAAGAATGTAGCAAGTGAAAGAAAGAAAGGCTTCTCATTCATCAACCTCATGCATACTTCCCTGCCCACACCAAGAGAATGCCATGGAGTCTAACTTCTGCTGAAGCCACAAATGAAGTGAATGTGGTATCTGTGTCACAGAGACAGACTAAGGCTCTCCAGCTTACGACAGGGCTCCATCAGGCCACCATTACTGTTGCGCAGGCCTGAGGACTCTAAATGAAGAAAACCAGGGGATTTGCATAGAGTACTGTAGGCTCTCTGTGGTTATTATATTTGCCCATTACCTGCCCCCACTCACTCCATATTCCCGGGATCAATGTTACAGGGAAGGTTCTTTAACAAAATTAAGCTTCTGGGGGCACTTTGACTTCTTTTATATCTAAGGACGGATACCTTTGAGACACACAGATCCCCTTGGTCAGTCTGAGCACGCTGTGATGTCACTGGGCAAATGCAGAATCTTTTGCACTAAGGCCCACGTCATTAAG